GTGTGCTGTCACAGTATGGGGAGAGCAATTAGGGTCACATAACAATGTATGTATAAATTTTTGTATGGGAAAAACAAAAAAAGAAAAGGAAGAGCAAAACCATCCAGAAACCAAGTGGGAAGCCCAGACCTCCCTCACTCCCTTTTCCTGACCTTGCTTTGCCTGAGCAGTTGGGATGAACTTTAAAGTCATAATCATCAGTCACTCTACCCTGACAGGGACAAAAGCTGAGACAGTGTCATCCTTCCCAGGTCACAAGGCTCAAACCAAAAAAAAAGGAAACCAAACCCATTGCCATCGAGTCAATTCCGACTCATAGCGACCCTATAGGACAGAGTACAACTGCCCCATAGGGTTTCCAAGGAGTACCTGGTGGATTCAAACTGCTGACCTTTTGGTTAGCAGCCAAACTCTTATCACAAGGCCCAGCTGATGCTAATTCCATGATGGCTGTAAGGCGGTAGGGAAGAGTTTCTTGCCTTAGTATTGGAATCCCACTGAAAGGCAACAGGGTGCTTCATTCTCCAGCAGATGCAATTTTGTCCATGACCACTGGGTGGCGTTAAGGCACGTCTTCCTTTAGGTTGCAGACGATTCTCCTGGAAGTTATTGTGAGGGAAAGGGGGGATAGGAGAGTGGTGGGGGAGAGGTTAGAGGGAGTGGTGGTGGGTGTCAGCGGGCAGGGGAGATTTCTCCCTTGACTAGAATAAAGCACGGCTTCTGCTGCACTGTCCTCTTGGATGCTGTATCCTGCCCCTCTTCATGGGCCTGATGGTGCTGTACTGGGCTCCAGAGCCAGATAAAGAAGTGTTAGCTGGGACTGGCTCTTGGACCCTGAAGTATTTTGTGCTGTCATGGGAAGACCCTAAGGGGGCTTAAAAAAACCTGTCGCCATCGAGTCAATTCTGACTCATAGCACCGTGTCGGACAGAGTAGAACTGCCCCGTAGGGTTTCCAAGGCTGTAAATCTTTATGGAGGCAGACTGCCAGATCTTTCTCCCGTGGAGTGGCTGGTGGGTTCAAACTGGTGACATTTTGGTTAGCAGCCAAGTGCTTAACCACTGCACCACCAGGGCTCCGATTATCACTGCCTTAGGGACCTCTAAAGAGTGTATGGACCCACAAGTCATCTGCTATAAGTGGGTGCTGGTAGTGATTAGAAGGTGCCATGGGGAGGAGTTGCTGCAGGATCATGGTAGGAGTAACATATAAGGAGAAAAATGTTTAAAGATTTAAAATGTCCCTTTCTTTATGAGTCATCCCTCGAACCTCACACCTGGCCTTGCCTGCCACTCCCCACCCTACCACTGCCTCCCATGCTCACCTGCACAGCCTCACCAACGACAACAGCTAACATTGATCGAGCACTTCTTTTGTGCCAACCTCAGTTCTAAGTGCTTTGCATAATTATCTCCCTTCATCCTCAGGACAACCCCATGAGGGAGTTTGCATCATTATGCAAATTTTACAGATGAATAAACTGAGGGTTAGGGAGGTTAAGTGACTTGTCCACTTGTCCAGGTCACACAGTCAGTGAGTAACACAACCAGAATTTGAACCAAGCACACTGACTTACCCACTATGCAGCACTGGCTCCTGGCCGCTGAATTAGAAAAGAGGCCAAGGTGGGGTTTGAAGCCACAATGATGTGTACCTAGCTCACATCTTTAACCATCTCCCTCCCTTGCAGCCTGGAGAGCTAACTCATCCCCCCTGCCTTCCCTCTGGTCCTTCACCGGCCCCCATTTGCAGAGGCTAGAGGATGGCCAGGCAGGTGCTGCCCTCAAGCTCCATGTGAAGAAGTCATCCAGTACAAAGACAAGGTGACAGAGAGTGGGTAGCCTGAGTAGGGACTGTGGTTCAAGAAGTTTAAGCCTGTTGTGTTTTATAAAACGTGGATGTGAGTAGCACAGATGCTGTAGCTGCCCCAGTCATTAGACACCTAATGTGTGCCTGAAGCCCTCTGAAAGTCCTGCTCCCTTCTCTTTGGTGCTGACTCCCTGAGAACAGATTCTCGCTGAGATAATGGGGGAAGGGCCCCTCTCAGGCACAGCCAGTGCGTAACCAGAAGAATCTTTAGATTCGAATATTCACAGAATGAATGAAAAGAAACCCATAATTAGATACATTCTCAGGAAATTTTAGATTGCCAAAGAGAAAACCATGAAAGCTTCCAGAGGATAAGAACAGTTCACCTGCAAGAGAATTAACTGGTAATACATTTCTCATTAGTCACAGTGGATGCTAAAACAGACTTTACCTAAAGCACAGGGTTTCTGTTTTTCTGGAAACAACCTACAGCCTAAGCATGAAAGACAACTGTACAGATACATGTATGTATATATGTGTATACATGCATATACACACCTATGTATGCATACATGTATATATGTGTATATATACCCATCATTGTCAAGTCGATTCCGACTCAAAGCAACCCTATAGGACAGATTAGAACTGCCCGATAGGGTTTCCAAGGAGCAACTGGTGGATTTGAACTGCTGACATTTTGGTTAGCAGCCAAACACTTACCCACTGCGCCATCAGGGCTCCATGTGTGTATATACATATATAGAAATACATAAAATGTGGATATTCTTAATCTTGACAAAGTAAAAATAGAACTGAGAAGTAGGGAGATGGCGTGAGGGTGACACAGAAGTTCTAATGTCTCTTACCCAGAGGAGGGCCAAGACAGACCATCACAAACTGATGGCTTCTGTATAATATGTACGGTCAAAACGGTAATCACCTTGAAAACTACAATCAGAAACTCTTAAAAGTGGTTCCTCCGTATACTTGAAGGTGGGGTGAGGACGTTTACTTTTCATTAGTCGTATTCTGTACCAGTTCACTTAAAAAAAAAAAAAAAAGCATGTTACTTTTATAATACCGTTTCTAAGGTTTTTAAAGAAGTTAAATTCTTATAAAAAATGAGGAAGGGATTGGAAGCCACCCTATCAAGTTGGGACTCAAACAAAAAATTCACATTCTGATCACCTGAGTTAAATTTTTGTTTGGCAGCGTTTATTTGGTGGTAGATCTATGTATCAGGGTTCTTCAGAGACACAGAACAGAATATCATATATACATTATATCTATTATTGTAAAAATGGTGTGGCATCAGAGGTCCTCTAACTTCATGAGGAGGGAGAATAATCACCATCATAAGCCTAAGGCTGATTCCTATGAGGTGGAGGTCAGAAATACCTCTGCTTTCCAACCTTTTTTACCAATTCTGACACCAGCCGTCCCTCCCATGGCACTCTCTACTTCTCTGCTGAGTTCAATAATTTCATTGCAGTGGACACACAGAACTCACAGACTATACTCACGATTATGGAGTTTATTAGGGAAGTAACAGGAATAACTCATGATCAGGATCAACAGGTTACAACTCAGGATCAAGATCTGCATCAGGAAGCATGCGGGCAAAGCCTGTAAGTCTCCCCCAAAGTGGAGAGCACATCCCCCCCTTCTTCAGTGCAGGGCAGCTGTCTCGACTCCTCCTAGCCATGCAAGCAAGCAGGCCCTTCTCTCCACCATGCATGCTCCCTCTCAGCTGTGCAGGCCCCCTCTCATCCCTGGCCTCTGTGCTGCTCAGTGAAGTGTTACAAAGCTCTTTAGCTCTGCCGATACATGCCCGGATGCACCCTACTCTGCCAGAAAACCTCCTGCCTGAAGGTACTCAGCTCTCTTGCTTGGTGGGTTGGCAAGCCTAGCTTGCTGGTCTCATGCCGCTGCCGTCTCATGCCATCTTCAGTGTTACAGCTCTGTATCCTGGGATTAGGAGTTTCTCAGTGCAGATACCTTGGGTCCAAAAGACACACTTCCTCCTGGCTCTTCTTCTTGATGGTAATGAGGTCCCTTTTTAGCCTCCGGATAGCAAAACTGACCAATCCCCTACAAGAGTTCCATGCACCTTCTTTGCATAGTCCCACCCCCACAACGGTTCCATGCACTTTATTTGCATTATCAGCAGGCTGTCTAATCCCCTTGGTGGGCCACGAACACCTTATTTGCATAGTCCCACCCAATCATTTTGTGGGAGTCACAAGACCATGGCTAGAAGGGCCATGTTAAAGCGCTTCACTACACCACAATAATGTTAGAAAGAATAAATTTAAGGAATTGGCTCACGCAATTGCGGGGGCTGGCAAGTCCAAAATCCGTAGGCCAAGAAGGCTGGAAACTCTGGCAGGATATTTATGTCAGTCTTGAGGCAGAATCCTCCTCTTGGAAACCTCAGTTTTTGCTCTTATGGCCTTCAGTTGATTGAATTGATGGTCAGCCAGCTTATGGAGAGTCATCTCCTTTATTTAGAGTCAACTGATTACAAACGTTAATCATATCAACAGAATACCTTCAGAGCAACATTTAGTGTTTGACCAAACAACTGGGCACCACAGCCTAGCTTAACTGACACAAAATTAACCAGCACAATCTGCATGCATGAACACGGGGAGGTGTTCAAGATATACTGTTGTGTGAAAAAAGCAGGTTTCAGAACCAACTATCCTCACAGAAAAAAGTCCAAAATACACACCACATCATTGCAGTGCCTTCACTTTGGGGAGTGGGGTTAAGGAGTGTTGGAAACATTTTCAGTATTTACTTTTGTTGTTGAATGTTTTACAATAAGCACACGTAAATATATTACAAGTCTGGGTAAAAAAGAAGTTTGAAAACTTGCTGCTACTACTACCATTGCTGCATTGAGATACAAAAAAAGCAATATGGTTCCCAACCCAATCAATGACCACCGTGCAAGCATTAAGAATGGTAATGTAGATAGCAGTATCTACATGGAACGATGTTCCTTCACACAGTCATGACCTCGCTCCTAGAAGACCTCAAAGAATTTGGATTTTGCTGGAATTGAAAACAGTCCAGGGCCCTGTGCATTGCTGAGCACATTTTTCTGGAATCAGAGCTGCTGCTGCAGGATCTTCTGGAAACCAGACCTGGAGTCCTGCTTTGTCACCACTCTTCTCAGTACCACACTGCACTTCCACTCCCTTCCAAACATTCCCAGGCAATCCACTCTCATTACATGCCTTAAGATGCCAAGGAGTGTATATGCTGGGGGTAGGGGGAAGGGGTAAGGTTTTGTACAACCTGGGAAGTGGATGAAGCAGACCATTAAAGCAGCAGCATGGACCCACTTATGTGTGGTGATGCGGTAAAGCATATGTCGGGAGAGATCTTTTGAGATAGAATCAAATTTTTAACAGGTTATCAATGGAAAGGAGCAGCTGTGAATAATTATATCCAAGAAAACTAATATTTGTAAAGTGCTCAGGACAGTGCCTAGCTATAAAAATAATTGTTAAATAAATCTGTTTTCAAATTTTCCTGCAATCAACACAACGGATAATAATTTAGAAAAGACTTCCAGTTCCATTAAAGTTAACAGAAAAAGACAGGTGCTTTTTTTTTTTTTTGAAATTCAACAAGATGACTAATGACCCAGGGACTGGAGTCTAAGGAAGGAGCCAGAAATGACCTCAACATGCTCAGGGTAGGCTTGGCTGACTGTGAGAAGTAAACCCACAGAAAGTTCTCCACAAGGCCCAGGAGGGCCTTGTCCATGGAAAGGATAGGAATATACCCTTCTCAAACTGGGGCTCACACAAAAACGTTGTGGCCTGCTTTTCTGAGTCAAATCTTTATTTGACAAAGTTCCTTCCAGATAGTCCAACTACCTGAGAGTAAAAACTGTGTGCCCAGCACCTAGCCTCCGAAAGCATCTCCAGCCAGAAAATGAGGAACCACGAGTCCATCTCTTTCTCTGCTGCTTCAGTGTTGTGAAGGAGATGGTGGAAGGGTGACCTCGGACTGCAGAGACTCTCCCAGCTGCTCCCTGCTCCCAAGTCCACAGAAAAACAGCAGGAACTGGACCAAGAGGCTGGCACCTCATACCCCCAGTCGCTGGGCTACAGAGATCTGCACAGGAAGGAGGGACCCTGGAGGCCAAGGCTCCAAGGGGCTGTGGTTCTGGGTCTCAGCTCCCCTGGGGCCTGGGGGCAGCAAGGGTTTAGGGTGGCTTCATCCCCTCTGATGCCCAAAGCCGGCCCAGCTAGGAAGGTCAGCCATGCACAAGAAGGAGCTGTCATCGCCCCTCAAAATGGGCTGTGATTTGTTCCAAAGTCTTCCCTTTGGTTTCCGGGACACAGAACACAGCAAAGAGGACGCTGAAGATGCAGAAGGTAGAGGTGAGCCAGAAGGCGCCATAAGGCCTGAGGACCTCCTGCAGAGAGAGGGGAACCGCCATGTGTGGACAACCAGTGCCGGGACTCAGCCTGCCCAGCCCACGGCTGCACCTTGTCTGTCTCCACCAAGCCCAGGGCAATGGAGGAAGGTCAAGGGTAGCAGTCTTGTGGCCCGGGTCAACTATGCCCAAGGTGTAGATGTTCTGTGGGAAACTGAGGCTCACAGTGATGAACTGACTGCCTCCAAGGCCAGAGACCCATTAAATGGGCTCTAGCCTGTGTCTGACTCCAGGGTGCACAGACCCACCCTCTATACTCAGCTTTGGTCCCACCTACCCTCTGGGGTCTCTGCCTTGGGGTCTCTTTTTATGGTGCTGGTGGGGATGGGTGAGCTATCAGCAGGTCCAGATGGGGCAGAGTGAGCATGGCCCCGGGAGCATACAGAGACACTCAGGGCCCACTGTCATGGAGTGGGGAGTGAGGCTGCCCCCCAACCCCAGCCCATCCCCAGTGACATCCCAGGTGCCAGAACCAAAGCTTCTCTTTATCTGGGGCCTGGTGACCTCAGGAAGCCCTTTTCAGATGCTGTACACTCCTGGGTCATGGTTGGGTCCTTTGCCATCTCCTCCTTGGCTTCTTTTCCTCCCCACTTTGTCATCCTTCTCTTCCCAGGCCTCAGCCTGGTCTTCCTGATGTGCTCCTTCAGGCATCCCTGCCTGAGGGGGTCCCGGGCCCTGTGTCCAGGCCTCTCACCAAGTCTGCATCTGGGTGCCCCCATACAGCCTCCCAGCAATTCACTCCCCACCACTTGTCTATTGCCTTCCTGGCCCTCGTCATAAAGGGGGCCTTGTCCATCTCATTCATTGCTGACTCTGGTGCCCTGAACAGGGCGTCGACCTGGTATGTGCCAGGAGACCTGGGGGCAATCAATGACTGAACAAATGTCTTCATTATCTGCTTCAGAACCATCCCTCATTGGCTGGGAAGCCCTGGGGCCTGGACCATGTCTGTGTCAGTCTTGTCTGCAGGAAAGTAGCAAGATGTTGAACCAAACTGATGCTCCCATCACCCCTAGGAGGAAAGTACTGTTACCCTCCTCCATTTCCAGCCAAGGAAACTGGTTCAGAGAAGGTAAGCAGCATGCCCAAGGCCACACAGACAGTAAGGACTTAGCAGGCCTGTTGACTCCAAAGCCCAAGCTCTTCCCAGCACAGACTTCGCCTGATCTGCATGCCCAATCTCCATTAATGGCAGGCCAACCACACTGTCCTCCACTATGATGGCCTGAAGACTCTTGAGAGAGTGCTTACAGCCTGGGTTCCTTGTCTGCTCTGACCCATCAGTCTCCACCTCACCCCTAACCGAGACTACAGGCCTCACAGGCATGGGCCTGCACGGAAAGCCACCAACCCTGAGTCTTTTACAACGAGAGCTGTTTTAAAAAGTAGTTCTTTGGTGATGGCAGGGGGGAAGGCCACTGGGGCCTGGACTCACCATGAGGTAGCTAAATTCTTTTGTCACGAGAAAGGCCATGAGCCAGTTGGTGAGGACGCAGATGCCGGTGGCCACACCTTTAACGTGCAGGGGGAAGATCTCCGACATAAGGAGCCAGGGAATGGGCCCCCAGCCCAGAGCGAAGCCTGAGGGAGCAAGATAGGCATTCGAACCCACAGAGGCTAGACTCCTTGTGGGCTGCAGAGCCCACAGCCTTGGCCCAAGACCCCCTGGCTGAGGGCTCACAGGGCAGCAGTTTGGGTCTCCAAGGGTCCTGGGTTCCAGTCTGGTCCCACCAGCTCTGTGCCTTCCTGCTGTGAGACCTGGGACCAGTCACTCACTCCTTGTGCACCAGGCTTTTATCTATAATACGGGACAATGATGGGCCTGGTCATAGGACTGTTGTGGGGATTAAATGAAATGAACACAAAAGGGCTTAGTTCAGTGTCTAGCATGTGGTCAGAGATATAAACCCTGAGGCTGGGTAAGACTGGACTCATGGGAGCTGCAGGAACCCAGTGGTGATGGGGTATGGGAGCTGGTGGGGGACAGTGGCCCTCCCCCAGCCTCTCTGTGGGCCCCCTCTCACCAGCAATGAAAAAACACATGCTTCCCACAGCCAGCCAGGCCAGCCCTGCACTGGGATCAACAGGCTGTGTGGAGATAGGCATGAAGAGGTCCACATGTGAGGAGTTGTTGGGGCCACCCTGGGTCAGCTTGAAGTAGGCACCAAAGGCACTAGTGCTGAACACCATGATCACACCTGCAGGAAGGAGGGAGGGTGGGGCTGGGCAGTGCACTGGGAGTGCTGATCCCCTCCCCACCGTCCACCTGCCTGACCCTGTCTGCAGGGAAATGGCCTGCAGGCCCGGTGTGAGGCACTTGGCTGGAGCTCCAGGGTGCCTCGTGGCCATAGCCATGTGGCCTGGATGCCTCTGAGAGGGCACACCTGGTGCAGTGAGGGTGGCAGGGCCCTGCAAACTCAATATTCCAGCACTTTGGCCTCGGGACCCCTGACTGAGCAGCACCCCATCCCTGCCCCACCAGCCCTGGCTTGAACCTCAAACGTTAGCAAACTCTAAGAAGTTCCGGGACACAGACCCTCCCTGACCAGGCCAAGGAAGCAGGAGTAATAACAGCAGTAGCATTTTAACCTCCACCCACAATGGTATAATCTTCTCAGTGGCCGGCACATAGCAGTGCTCTGTGGGCCAAAGCATGGTGTGCCAGGGCCTCACATAGATCATTTCCTGATCCTCATAACCACACTGAGGAAGGCACTGCTGTGATCCCCTTTTCTCAAAGGGGGAAATTGAGGCTCAGGGAGGTAAAGTTACTTGCTCAAAAAGACCAAAAGCTTCACTTCACTTCCTGATCCTCAGTTTACCAACTGTAAAATGGGGGCTGTGATAGGGCCCCTCTTGTGGGTTTATCGTGAAGGTTAAATGCATTAATGCAGTAACACTCTTAGCCTAAGCTGGTCTGGAGCAAGTGCTTGGTGAGCACAGCTGCTGCTAAAATCACAGCCTCATTAGTCCATGATGCTTGCTCTGCTGGACACTCGACCGTCCTTCTCCATCCTGTAATGTGGTGGCCTTCACAAAGACCCTCCAGCCCGTGGTGGGAGCCTGGTATGGAGGCACCAATATTTGTACAGGGCTGGGTTCTCATCCTCAGGCCTCACCTGACAAGGTCAGGAGCAGCCTCCGTCCAGCTCTGTCCATGACCAATGCTGCTGTAGCAGTGAACAGCACTTGGATGATGCTCATGATGATTGAGGCCAGGCTGCTGTTCTGAGGGAAGACGGGGGCCAAGGCAGTCAGGTGGGCCAGCCAAAGAGGCTGGGAGGGTGACCGCAGTAGGCCCCTGCTTTGAGGAGGAAACCCCACCCATATGGCATGCTGATGAGGCAGAGGCTGCTTTACCTTGAACTTGGCCTTCTCAAAGATGGTCTCTGCATAGAACATGACGGCATTGATCCCTGACAGCTGCTGGAAGGCCATCAGTGAAATGCCGATGATAAAGGGCTTGTAGACCCCAGGCTGCCTCAGCTGGGCCAGCTGGAATCCCTGCTCAGACAGAAACCAGGTCATCAGTGGCTTCTCTGCCCTCTCTCATGGGCGTCCCTGGGCTTTGAGCCCCTGTCCTTAAGGTCGCGGAGGGGAATGAGCCTCTGCATGGATTCTCGACTAGGCTCTACCTGTGGCTTCAGGTCCACAGATGAGTCCCCACATCACTTTCACCTCCCTATTTGTAAGGTGAGGAAATCCTTACCTGTCCATGTCTTTTCCTGAATTGTTGGGGACAAACAGCAAAGTTCTATGCACCCCAACCCCTCCGACCTCGAGGGCATCCAGTCCTTCCCTTGGGCCTGGCCCTGTGCTCAACGCCTCCCATGGCCCTTCTCACTGAACCCTTACTGCCACCTACACAGCACGCGCTATATGACTTTCACTTTGCAGATGAAGACACTAAGGGTTAAAGATGGAATGGTCACATAGCAGTTAAGTGGCAGAGTTGCAGTTTCAAACCCAGGTCTGACTCCAAAATCGAGACTCTTAACTGTCTCCTTGCCCTACAACCCCCCACCCAGCAGTTCCCCAATTAAATCTAGGTCCTCAATTTAGCACCTGTATTTCCTTCTGAATTGACCTCTCTCTTCCTGGGACAGTAAGAATCAAAGCTCAAAGCTTTTCTGGTGACTTCCAGAGGCTAGGCCCAGCTGAGTGGGGCTCTAGCTGGCCTCTGCCTGCTCATAAACAGGACAACACAGGGTCTGTCCCACCTCACTGAGGATGGAGGGATAGGTTCCTATCCCCCTCAAGTGTGTGAAAACTTGGAAACAGGCTATGCTGCCTCCCCCAGCTGCAAAGCGGTAATATGTCACCCATGCCCCCCAGCTCCCAGACCCTTACCTGGTGTTCATCCCTTGTGGGGGGCTCTTCCCAGTCCTGTTCAGAGCCCCACAAGAATTGCAGGGCGGCCATGGCTTCCTGGCGCTTGTGCTGAGTCAGCAGGAACCTTGGGGTCTCGGGCATGCAGCACATGAGCAGCAGCATGAGTGAAGGGGGCACACAGCCCAGCACTGCCAGCCAGCGCCACTCCAGGATGCTGCCTGGCAGGGGTGCAGGACGTCAGAACCAATCTGGACCACGTTCAGGGAATGCCTGCACCTCACAACCCCAGGGACTCAGCTCAAAGGACAGGGAGCTCACTGACTCTGCATGGCTGCCTTCATTTTTGTTACTGATAATGTTATTGTTACTGTTAATAACTTGTTAATAAATGGAGACATCGTGGTCCAACTTATCAGTTGTAGAGATGATGATGGGTGTGTAAATTATGCTATATCCGTTTAGTGAAATATTTATGTAACCATCAAACCAAAAATGAGCATTCCCTATAGGGTGGCTATATGTTGGAATCGACTTGATAACGGGTTTCCTACGTATTGACATGCTGTTGATATGGCACCACATATATAAAGGTAAGGAATAGGGGAATTAATATGCATACTCCTCATATAGTCACATACTCTTCTTGGGAACATTACTGGGCACCTCTGGCTTCTCCAGAGAGGAGTGGAACAGAGGTAGGGAGAGTCTTTACACTGAATACTCTCCCTACTTGTACTTCTTGGGAGCCCCTGGGTGATACAAATGGTAAACGTGTTCATTTGCTAACCAAAAGATTGGTGGATCGAGTCCACCCAGAGATGCCTCAGAAGAAAGGCCTGGTGATCTACTTCCAAAAAAATCAGCCATTGAAAACTTTATGGAGCACAGTTCTACTCCGACACACATGGGGTCCCCATCAGTCGAAATCAGCTTGACAGCAACTGGTTTTTTGTTTTGTACTTCTTAAGTGTTGAATCATTTGAACGTATATCTATTCAACAATAAATAAAGTGATGGCAGGATTTTGTTATTATGAAGATGTACAAAGAACAGTACAAAACCAGAATTATCTAGAATTACATAAAGCACTTTTTGTGTGTCACTTAATTTAACCCCCCAACAGTTAGGTGGGGTTATCGCCATTTAGACAGGGAAACAGGCACCTAGGGGCAGCGTGACTTGGGCAAGGTCACATAGTAAGTAAATGGCAGAGGCCGTCTCCAAACCTGGGACTGTCAGATTTGAAGCCTGCCATTTTTCTACCCCATTTCTTTCTGGTGAGATCACGGCTACCTCCTGAAGCTACCCCATGCCGGCCCTAGTTCTGCCCCCTTGGAGTCCCTGGAAACCTGCCTTCTTCACACCAACTCATCTGGCATTGTGAAGCCAGCACTGACATTTCTTAGGAAGACACACTCCGGCCTTTCAAACTCCTGTGCTGAAGATTTCTGGAGTGCCCCACCTACACCTGGAATCCTCTGGTTTGTCCATGCTCAATAAGGTACTGACCTAACCAGTCAGTCCTTGCCACACCCTTCCGACTGGGCTTCTACCCTTGGGAAACAAGGACATCACCTTCTCCAGCTCTCTCTGCAACTCAATAACAAGACCTCATGCACCACAAGATTCCAGGGAGGCTGTACACCTTGGGTAATGGGTGTGTGACATTGGAGTCCATTGACCTCTGAACCTCAGTTCCCATATCTGCAAAATGACCACTGGGCCTTTTACAGGGCTCAAAAGAGATAACGTGAAAACTGTACCTGCCACGTAGGCTAGGAGGATGCCTGTGACGACCATCAGCTGCACACAGGAGCCGAGCAGCCCCCGGACTGCTGGGTAAGCAATTTCGGAGATATACACCTGCCGGCAATTAAGATGAGGGTTTACTTGGCATCTAAGAGGGTCTTAAGTTGAAAAGCCTCAGCTGTCCAGCACTGAGGGGAGCCCTATTTGGGGCTGCTGCAGGCCCTGCAAACCCCCAATCACATTGTCCCAGGTCAACAGTGCCCTTCCCATACTGCTCCCCACTCCCACCATCAACAGTGATCTGTACCTTGTGTTCAAAGGGGATTAAGGTTATGTACTTGGCTGCTGTTGTGTGTGAGGGGAGAGGAGAGGGAACAGGGCTTCTCAAACTTTAATGTGTACAAATCTTCTTGGTAAAATGTCAGTTCTGATTCAGTAGGTCTGGGGTGGGGCCTGAGATTCTGCTCTTATAACTATTCAGGCTGCTGGCCCATGAACCACACTTTGAGTGATACCCTTGGAGTAATAAATCAGGAACTCCCAGCCTTATCTCTACCAGTGGCTTTCAGCACCTCCTCTGGGCTCAGGGGCCACCAGGGCCTTCCCCACACTTCTATGTTATTCCCTACACCTTAGGTCCATGACTAAGACAGGTGTGTTTTTGCCTAGGAAAAAACAAAATCGAGAAATACATCCCAGCTGCTGCCCAGCAAATGTAGGTGAAATGAGTTGGAGAAGCAAAGGGATGATCAGAAAGTAGAGCCACTGTTTTCAGTCTTAACGAGGTTGGGGTGTAGATAGTTCATCCTCCAAGCCCATGGCCAGCAGTAGTTCTTGGGTTACCCAGTGATCCCAGCTGCCAGGGTCCAAGTACTTCCATAAGCAGTATGTGCAAAGTTCCACTAAATCCTCATAATCACCTCATATGAGGCAATTATTCCATTATCCCCATTTTACAAAGGAGGAAACTGAGCCTCAGAGAGGTGCCCTGCCCAGGTGGGTGGCAGAGCCGGGATTTGAACCCAGGTGTGCAGCTCCAAAGTCTGCCTTTGCAGCGCTGGGTCAGGACAGGCTGACAGGGAAGCTGAGGGGCTAGTTTGTGAGCAGGGGGAGGGGAGTAGTGGATCTTAGCAGCCCTTACTGTCCCCTAGACAAACTCAAATCCATGTCTTTAATGGTGCAGAAGACAGAACAGGATTTTTCTGCTGCCTGTGGTCTGAAAGACACGTAGAGTTTAAGCCATCATGTGTGTGTAAAGCACAAGGGAGGCACAGTTAAGCCCGACAATGGCCTCACCACTGATTAGCTGTGGACCCTGCCTGGGGAAAGGACTTCACGTTTCTGATGCTCAGTTTCATCTGTAAAATGGGACGATAGCTGGCTCCTTCCATGGGCTGTGGTGAGGGTAAGGGGCATGATGTCTGGCACTCAGGAGGCTTTATAGCCCGTGTGGGCCACAGCCAGGGAAAAGCCACGCCCCAGGTTTGGGAAGCGGTTTGTCCCACTCCTTTTCCTCGGCCTCAGGCCGAGAGGCAGGTGGACACTCACCGGGGCCACTAGCGAGGCAATGCCGCAGGCCAACCCGGTGAGGAGGCGGCCCCCGAGCAGCATCCACACGTCCTGGGCCGCAGTGATGACAGCAAAACCGACCACGAAGGGCATGGTGCAGAGCAGGAGGCTCAGCTTGCGCCCAGCGCGGTCCAACAGCCAGCCTCCCAGCACGCCCCCCGCCGCGGCGCCCAGGGTCACGATGGCCTGGGAGGTGGCGGACCGCGGGATGAAGAGGGGGCGCCAGGGGCCGCGGCCCAACCTCACCCACAGGGAAGGAGCTGCGGGTCCCGGGTTGGAGGTCGGGGAGGGGGCGGCCCCAGGCAGAGGAGCCAGGTTGGACAGGGGAGAGGGGTCCCAGTGCCAGCCCAAGAGTGTGAGAGGGAGGGTCCTAGACCCGGGTCTCACCCCGAACCAGGAGGCGGCATCGTCGTCGAGGCGCGGGGCCGGGGGCGCGTCGCGCTGCAGGCTCGGGATGGCAGGGGAGCTGTAGCCGAGCGCGAAGCCGAAGCTGAACGGGCCCAGGGCAGCTGCGAAGGCGGCGAGGAAGACGCGGCGGCCTCGGGGGACGCTGCGGGGACAGGGCCGTCAGCGGCGCCGGGCGGAGCAGGGAAGAGGTGCAGGGAGAGAGGCCGCGCCCTCGGCCTCCGCTCACCTGCCGCCGGACGGCCCCAGGAGCGGCTGACTCTCCTCCTGGTCCTCAGGCACCATGTCCGCGGCCAACGCTTGTTCAGTGGGCTCAGATGCCCGAACTGCCACAGTACCCGCGAGTGTTGCCGGCACCCGACTCTCATTGCAGAGCCTGCCAATGGGCAGTGAGGGGTAGTTCTGGGGCGGGGTTGGAAGCTTCCGTGAATGTCAGGGCGGCCAATGAGAACGCAAGGCGGGGTTAGCCTCTGCGCTAGGGTCCGCCCTTAAATCAAAGCAGACCAATGGAAGCACAGAATAGGTTGGCGATACAAACTAGAACTGCCACTAGAACAGAGCTACCCAATGTACAGGCGGGCCGGAGTTTGCAGTAATTTGCCTCAGAGCTGAGCGGACCAATGAGGGTGGGGGGCGGGGACTGCACTTGGCCTGGAGCCGCCTCTCAACGCTGCTTCAACTGATGGGGCTAGGGGTTGGGCGAAGGTGGAGCGCGTGGATCTCCCGCCCACTACGTCGCCGCCCGAATTTACGGCTCCTACTGTCCTCTTTGGTTGGGTCAGCATTTCCTGCTGTTAACTGCTGCTTTGGGGCCTAGGCGCCTGTCCCAGCCCTGACCCCTGAGAGCTACAGAGCGGAAGGTCTCCAAACGAACTGTCCTGGGCCGCCTATTTCCCCCTAGAACGCAAAGACTGACCCGACATTCCTGCCAGTTTGCCCATGAGTAGTCGTAAGCCTGCGTGCCGCAGCCCAGCCCCGGTCCCGCCGCGACTAGGGGTTCTCTCCGATTGCTGAAGGCTGCTAAGCTGGCGACGACTAAGGCTTCCAGGTGTTGGGACCTGTGTTAGACGGGTACTCCCGCGCCGCTTTTGTGTGATATGGGCTTAAATGGTGAGCTCCACGCTCCCTGTTTAGTTCCACTCACTTAACAGGTAATCTCGATTCTTAAATCTCCATCTTACTACCTCTCAATTTTGAGTACCCCGCAGACTTTAATAGCCAACCTCTCCATGTTTGCATCCAAGTCACTACTGGAGATGAAGATGATCAGGTCAGGGCTCTGTAGGATCTCATCATCTGCACCAGCATCAATCCACACCCGCCACTCTGGGTGAAGGCAGTTGCTGTGGAATACTGGTGTAATTCTGGGAAGAACCAGGACTGTGAGAGAAAGAGTCTTGGTTTTAATCCCTCTCTGGCCTCTGATTCCTCATCTACAAGGAGGATGAGAATACCTATTCTCCAGGAGAGTTGTGAGTAGGGATAATGTATATAAAAACCAGGCACACAGGAAGCACTCAAATGCTAGCTCCTATGACTGGAATAGTTTGATGGATTGCAGTCAGCTGATGGTACTCTCATCCAACCACCATTTTCCAGTCTTGACCACAAGATTTTTCAAAGACTTAGGCAACCACCCGTCTGTGCTTCAACAGGATCTTATGCTTGAGTTATAAATTCTTATCACAGCACTTATCACTGTTTTGTAATCACCTGTTCACTGCTCTCCCTCCTCCACTGGATAGGATTTCCTCTGGACAGTAGACACTTGGTATTTGCAGAGTGGATGAATGCCTCAAACTCCATGAATGAAAGGCTGCTGTTAGACATGGTTTACTTTGTACATGGAGATGCTTACGTAGACAGGGTGCTCCAGTGAGCCCAACTAGCGTCAGCCAGCCCTGAGTCATGGACCTCTACAAACCTGCCCCTACCCTCTGGCTGGTGGGTTCCTTCCCCTTGAGTGTGCAGTGTTCACTTCTTGATTTTTGTAAGCAGATGTTGCTGCCAAAACAGTCTGCCACCCCCTTTTTTATAAGCAAAACACCATCAGTCTGATTAGTAGGATCTACCTTCTGCCCTCTCTTCATTCACTCCACAGATCTGTGACTCTTGTCAAATCATGGGGTAGCTCTAATGGTGCTGATCTCCTTGAAAGAATGCTCTAAAAAACCCTCGGTTTTTCTATTCCAGGCTGAGAAGCAAGAAAACTTCAGGAAAAAAAGATGACAGGAAAACCACAGATACAAGCTCATAAAGCTTACAAACTAGTTTAACATGAAAAACAACAGCCAAATCCAATGCACTTAAGGCACTCAGCCTGGTTCTGTGTGGTGGACAGGGGAGAGAATATGGGCTCTGAGGTCAAACAAGTCATAGGTTCAAATCACTGCCCATTTCTGAGCCTCAGTTTCCTAATTTGAGAAACAGGAATAATAAAAACTAATTCACAAAACTGTTGGTGGAGTTGGGAACTGTATGTAGTTGATTCTGTTTTTTTCCCCCATGTACAAAAGGGCATAACAAAACAAGGAAAAATGGAAATGCTGAATGCTGTGAAGAATATGAGAAAGTATATTTGTTTATAAACAGCCCCACCTGGGTATACCTAAAAAGCATTGTCTTTACTGCTCTTGCCTCTTTCTTTCTGCCAAGAACAGGAACCAGGAACTCTCCCCACAGTGTGCGAGACTCACAAGTGGGTGGGATCTAAACTTCTGTAAAATCTATTAATTAGATCAAGGTCCTGTCAAACACAGTTCTCTGCACTTAACAAAGTCCTACAGAACTCTTCAGAGCTGCTTTAACAGAGGATACATGATTTAAAGTTTCTTTTGACAGGTAATATAGGCGAGAAGAGATAGTGTGATCAGATAGACTAGAGCCAAAGGCAAATTCTTCACCCAAATTAAAATTTTTGCAAACACTGTCAGTGAAGCTAGGTTTTTCCCCCTTTGATCTCCCTGGCTAGAGGCTGACATTTCCCTATTTCATTTGCACTTGGCCCAGTCCACGTTTTCTTTCTTTTCACTTTGAGAAGGGAGCAGATAAAATGACAAGAGGAAGGGAAGTCATTCGGTTTATGTGAAAAAGCAAGGCTGACCCAAACAAAAGGAGGGAATTTGAGAATAATTTTGATCACAAGGAGTAACTGTTTCCTGGTTATGATTTCAGAATAACAATGAAATCAAACTAAATAATCTTACGACTCTTGAAAATCTCCTAGTCCTTCTCATTTTTTGTGAGACACAAGGAGAAAGATTTATAAGATCTACCCATTCAGCTTTTCTCAAGAGTGGATAGTAAGGAACACAGCTGGTTCCAATCACAGTGAGCTGAGACAGCAACAGGGGCCAAAGGTGCAGACAGAAAACTTATCATAAATTTAAAAAGTAATGACTTTTCCTTATGAAAGACATTATGTGACACAAATCAAAACTAATGAAAAATAATTTTTCCATCTAAGTATATAAAATATAAGAGAAGGTTGTAGTAAATAAGAATGAACATTTCTGATTTATTCCAAGTTTCAATCTAAAACCTCAATGAACTCTACCACCTTTATTACAAGGGGACTAATGGTTCCTGAACTGAAAGAAACAAAGGTCAAGAAAGATGGCACCAGACATTGGAGAGTGACCCAAACTGGCCGAGTGTGCAGAAGATTTGGTCCAATAGATCACTGACAGGCTAAAAGCCGCATTTTGTTGAGAAATGATGTCAGAACCGTTGAAAGAGTATAAACCTCCATAAGAAAACTAAAGATGGCAAATGAGATTTGCACTCTCTTTACTTCAAGTCAATAATGTCTTCATCTGAGGAAGCTGTGAGCTGAAAGGGGCTGCCTGAGACAGGGCTGCCCTCTCTGTCCACCACAGGGTCTGGGTCAGAGCTTGTCGAGTGGTAACGCCCCTCGGGATTGGCTTCGGAAGTAGATGGACTTTCCAAGGAACCCGATGTGATCCTGGAAGAGAAAACTCACTGTAAAAAGGATTCACAGGGAGCAGCGCTGAACTAGGCCTATTCTGTCTGGCAATTCTCTGTTCATCTGAGCTCATAAGCCTGCCTCTTTGCCCTGGGTTATGAGGGGAAGTGGGGAGGCACAGGAGTCCCTGCACACAGTTCAGGCTCTGCAGTCAGATACCCCTAGCTCATGGGGTTCTAAAAGGCTGGTGTGTGATAGACAGAAGGCGTTTCTGAGGTATTATTTACCTTTCAAGGAGCCCTGGTGGTGCAATGATTAAGCACTCGGCTACTAACTGAAAGGTCAGTGGTTTAAACCCACCAGCGGCACCGAGGGAGAAAAGACCTGGCAATCTGCTTCCATAAAGATTACAGCCTAGGAAACTCTATGGGGCAGTTCTACTCTGTCCCATGGGGTTGCTATGAGTTGGAATAGACCCAATGGCACACAACATTTATCTTCCTGAAGTATGAATCCAGATAATGTCATTCTCTGCCTAAAACCCTCTATAAAAAAAACCAAAAACCAAACCCATTGCTGTCAAGTCGATTCCGACTCATAGTGACCCTATTGGACAGAGTACAACTGCCCCATGGAGTTTCTAAGGAGCGTGTGGTGGATTCGAACTGCTGACCTTTTTGGTTATCACCTGTGGCATTTAACCACTACGCCACTAGAGTTTCCAAAACCCTCTATGGCTCCCTTAAATTCCTACCTGCAGCCAAGATTCCGTGACTTGGCTGCACTGACCGATCCCTCACCCCCTCTATTTTACCCAACTCCTCAGGACTCTCTCTTGATAGCTGCATGATCAATTTGACTAAAACTGGTTTCCCCTTCTCAGGGAGTTAATCTATCCAACAAGTACTCATTGTCCTGCAAAAGCCTACCAGATTCAGCCTCTGTCCATATCTCAACCTCACATTACATCGGTCCTCACTTCTGTCTCTATGCTCAAGCTGGTCCGCTCTTGCTTCCTCATAGGCCAGCCCTTTCCCTGCTGTTCCCTCTGTCAGAGGTGCTTTTCCCCAGCTCCCTATCATTCATTCAAAGCTGAGCTCGTTGTCATTTCCTCAAAGAATCTTTCTTGACTCCGCTCTCAAAGTAGACCTTCACGCACCTTGGTCACTGAACTTCCTTCCAGCTTCTTTACGGTACTTATTATTTGAAATGACCAAATTTGCTTATTTGTTTGCAGGTTTATTGTCTGCTTTCCACACTAGAATGTAAAGTCCATAAATGTCTGTTGAATTAAAGCATGAGTGTGTGCCGCCCCTCTCTGAGCCAGGTTGATGAGACTTAGCTGAGCCTTCCCTGGTGT